AGAGAGAGAGAGAGAGAGAGAGAGAGAGAGAGAGAGAGAGAGAGAGAGAGGACAAAGCCATCTTACTAATCTACAGTAGTCGTCAATTCATCCCTTAACCTTTCTTTCTCTCTCCTTGACAGAATACGTATATTGTTCGATGCGGCAACGAATTTATTCGCCAGCTGATCTTGGTAGCGCTTGAAGGTGCTGCCATCGACCAGTTCTCGCACTTGAGACTCCGCAAGCAATCGTGCGCAGCCGCCACCGGGGACAGCCGATCTCTCTCACCTCTCCATCGTTAATGCGCGATGCGGCATACTTTGGCAAGCAAGCGACGCAAATGGTCTGCCCGCAGCAGGGGCAAGGACAGTCAACGAAAAGATCGTCAAAGCAAACAATGCACGTCGCTGTCTCTTCCCCTCCCTTTGTCTCTCCCGCTCCCGCTTGCTTCCCGCCCTAACCGCCTTCGCCCCCTTCTGGCATTTTCTCCCCGCCGCCGCCACTGTCTCCTTGCTTCTCCCGCCCTGCTCTCCCCCTTACCTCGTTGTTCAAGACAACGGAGCCACCTCCGCCGGCGCTGGAAGCACCGACGGCGGATTCCGAAGCAACCATAGTCGTCGTAGCGCCGCGGCCCGCCTCGGCATCCATCTCCCCCCGGGCATCATCGCCGCCGCCGCCGCCGCCACCACTCTGTCCTTGCTTCCCTCGCCCTGCTCTCCCCCCTACCTCGTCGTTCAAGAAAGGGGAACCACCGCCACCGCTGGAAGCACCACCTCCAGCGGCGGATTGCGGAGCAATCGTAGCCCAACGTAGCGGCCACGTCATGAAGAACGCAGTTTGAAATCAAATTCGAATTTGTGGCGCCTCACGGCTGCAGGGGCATATCAGAAAGATGGCTGCCCCTCCTGAGGGCATATGGCACAGGGCCCTATGGAATTAGGACCGCCAGTCCAAGGAGGGCGTCCCGCAAAGTTGCGGTCACCACCGACAAGGGCCTGGCGAAAATATTTTACAGGGTCAATCTGCCCTTGGAGGGGTGTGGCACGAAATAACGCAAATTACAGGGGCGCCAGACAAATTTTCGCACGTTTTTTTCAATTCTTTTCTTTTCTTAGTAAGCCCTGCCATAGAGGCAGGGCAGGCCGTAGTAAACAGCAGAATGCTTGGATCCTGTATTTCTGGGAAGATGCAGTAGAAGTTAAAAAAAGCAAAAGCCGAAAAGACCCAGACCCATATCGTCCATCCCCAGTTTGCAACGGGAAAAAACTCTATCCCTCAAAAACAATGGACGGCGCCCTGTACTAAATTGCAACGACCTTGACAAGATAACCTGCCTGCCCTACTACGGGTCTTAGGGACGACTGCTACCGGACCCTATTTTCTGCTGTCGGAGA